CGTCAATGCGGTACTTCGTCGTCAGCACCCACCAGTTCTTCATGATGTTCTTCCCAGGTGGGCGATCGACCAACTCCATGCCGATGAGGCTGCGGATCTCCTCCTCCATGGCGGCCTTCACCGCCTTGCCCTTCCAGCTTGCTAGCGCCTCTTTCACCGTCATCGTCGCAATGTCCCAACGGTGCTCGGGGTCGGCATGCAAGTTGGGGTCGAGCTCCGGCAGTTCTTCATCCTCCTCGGCGTCGTCGTACAGCAGGTCGTCGTCGACCTCGTCATACACCGTGGTGAAGGCAGCGGGGACGAAGAAGTCGGGTAGGTGGCCTCTGAAGTCGGCCTATGCACCTTGGTCCTGGCTGGACCTCTACCACATCACTATCGGTGGACTCCTCGGCGTCCCCTCCATCGTCGCCGACGTCGCTGCCCTCAGCGTCCTGCTGCACCAAAATCGGCGTCCTTGCCGACTTCCCCCCTGCGGTCGGTTCCCTTGCCGACTGCTCGGTCACCGATTGCTTCGTGGTCGGCGTCACTGTCGGCTGCTCCCCTGTGGTCAGCTTCCCTGCCGACGCCTCCTTCATTGGCTCACCAGCCTGCTCCTCCCCTATCCGCGTAGACTTCACTTTCACGCTGACTTGAAAACGTCACGTCGGCCACCGGCGATGCACTTGGCCGGCGCCAAAAGTGATGCCCCACATCTCCCCTCATTGTCGAAGGCCGACACAAAAGGCAGCCCACGCAGGTCGGCGACGAGGGGAGGTTCAGGAGGGGCAGGGGAAGGGGAAAGAGGGCGGACGTCCACGGCGTCCTCATCAGCTAGCTCACTGACCTCGGCGAGCAGAGGGAGCGTCGCGTCAGCGGGATGACCAGCGTCCGCCCCGACGCTGACCCATGCTCCGACTTCCACACCTCCCGTGACAGCGTTTCATAGAACACCACATCCGACGTGGTGACCACCCGGTTGTCGGCAATGTCGAGGAGCTCCCAGCCTTTGCTCTCCTCCGACACGCCAAGGTGGAGACCCCACTTGGCCTTCGGCTGCAGCTTCCCACCGCGCTGCTGCTCGGGGACAAGGAACTGCGCCATGCAGCCCCACACGCGTGCCAGCGACAAGTCGGGCTTCTTCCCGGTGAGGAGCTGGCACGGCGTCGTCCGACTGTAGCGCCGACCGCTGAAGGCAGTTGCAGACCTAGACAGCCTGCCGTAGAGCGAGGTGCCACCAGTGGTGTTGCACGCCCATGTGCAGCAGCATCATTCTCACCGACTCCACCACCGTCCGCATCTCCCGCTCCGCCATGCCGTTTTGCTGCGGGGTGTACGGGCAGGTCAAGTCGTGGATGATTCCCTTGCTGTCCTTGAAGGCGGTAAAGTCCTTCTCGAGGAACTCCCTGCCCCGGTCAAAGCGTAGCATCAACACCAAGTTCTTCGCCTACTGCTCAACCACCACCAGCCACTTCTCGAACTCCCGCAGCACGTCGGACTTCTTGGCGACCGGCTGTACCCGCACGTAGCGGGTCTTGTGGCCCTTCAGCAGCATGAAGTACCGGCTCCCATCCTTGGCCGCCACCCTGAATGGCCCACACAGATCGATGTGCACGACGACCAATGCGTCCTCGGCGTCCGAGCCCTTGTTGGGAAAGGTGTGCCGCGCCAGCTTCCCGCCGACGCACGAGACACACGGTGAGTCGCTGCCAGACACCGACTTGAGGTCCAGCCCAATGGCGACCTCGTGCTTCATGGAGCTCCGGATGGTGTCCATGCCAACGTGCGCAAGCCTGGCGTGCATCCTGTCCGGTGTCGACTTCGTCGCTGACACGATTGCCTGCAGAGCCACCACCTCCGCCGTGGGCGTCGCTAAGCAGGGACGCAGGTCGGTACAGAGGACCCGGCCGGTGTATGTCGCCCGACCAAGCACGTCACCCACTGCCGAGACGAGCAGCATCCCATCGTCGTTTTCCTTCAGCTTCACGACGCTCTCCTTCAGTTGGCCGGCTGACAGGAGGTTAGCCGCAACGCCCGGGACATATAGCACGTCGGGAATGAGCACTCGCTTCCCGGCGTCTCCCTGCAAGGCAACGGTGCCACAACCACGGATGTCCTAGAGCGCCCCATTGAAGTCGCGCATGTGCTTCACATCACCGCTTGGCTCCAGGTCGACGAAGGCCTCATCAGGTGGTGCGAGCAACCGCTGTCGAGTCAGACCACCGCTGGGTTCGTCTGAACAACTGCCGCTACCGGTTGGAAATCCTCACCAGCCTCCGGTGCCAGCGAAACGGCCGGCTCCACGACACCGACCAGCGAGCACGACGCCTCCTTGTCGTCTCGCCCCTTGCCGCCAGCAGAGGAGTCGGCGTCCTTCGCCGAGGTCGACTTGGTCGACTGCTTCTCCTTGTGCGGCATGCTTTCTCGACGTGGACACCGACCAGCCGACCTACCTCGGCCTCCGTTGGCATTGTCGTCGGAGTCACTGCGGTCAGGACACTCGAAGGAGAGGTGGTCGGGTCACCACAGATCCAACAGCTCTGGCATCGACTCCCTCCTCCACGGCCAGCGTCCTTAGCCGACATCCCCCTGTCGCGGCCTTGGCCAGCCTCCTACCACCACCTCCACTACCGTCGGACTGCCCACGATGTCCCGGTCGACCACCTTGCTTTGCCAGGGTGGCGTAGTTTACTTGCGGCTGGAGCTCCGAGGACCGCTCTGCTTCCTGCATCACCTCATCCCGCAGGATGTACGAGGTCAGGGAGTCCTCGTTGAGCGCCGCTCGTGTGCTCGGCACCACCGACAACCGCTTCAGTAGGTTGTAGCTGCTAGGGAACCCTTTCAGGACGTGGGTAACGTACGACGTCATGGAGTATTGGACATCGACCATCCGTATCGTGGCGAGCGGTCGCCACGGTTGCAGTAGTCAGTCACTGTCTCCTGGTCGCCCATCCGCAGATGCGTCATCTGCTCCTCGAGCTGGCCGATGTACAGGTCATCGGTGACCTGGTAGATCGACTAGATAAAGTGCCACTCCTGATGACTAGCGTCCAGGTAATCCCTGCGCGGCTTCAAGGCGATCTACACACCCAGCAAGCAGCACCGCGAGAAGACCGTTAAGGTCAGCAGCTGCATAATATGAAACTCCGCACGCAGGTCGGGGTAGTTCTCCAACGGCATCGCCACAGTTCTGGCGGCGAAGCCCATCAGCCCGGCCATCTCCAGCTGGGGCTCGATGGCTTCCTTCCAGGTGAGGATGTCGGGTCGACCGACCAGCAGTGGGGTGACCGAGATTTTGTCCTGCGTAAACTTGAAGTAGCTGTAGCTCGGCTCTATCCCGCCCACTGTCACGTGGGTCATGCTGCATCGACGCCCACCGGCATCGACTGGCGAGGTGCCTATAGCCGCCGACGACTGCAGCCCTCGCGCCTGAACGCTGACGACTTCACAGGCGTGTATCACTCCGCGTTGCCTCGACAACGTGCATCCCGCACTGCTATTGACTTGGTCACTACCGGCGTTGATGCCCACGTTGACGCTGTCCTCGGTGTTAACCGGTCGAGGAGAGACAGGCCGAGAAGGGTGCTCCGTTGCCCACACGGCGCGAATTCCAGCCTCGAGGACCGCCCAGGGGATGTCCTCGTACTCGCAACACCCACGTCACCTATGCCAACCATGGTGGTGACTAATGCACAGCTGCTGGCCTACAAACACTAGGTAAGTGACCACTAAATTGACTAGACTGAAATGTAAGTCGCGTGTCGTCCACGCTCACCGCACCATGCGGAGATAACTATAGCAACGGGAGCTAGACTACGGGCTAGGCATGTGGCTTGAGTGATCTCTGCATTTGTTCCTTAGTCCTTTCCTTGTGCGCACACTGCTTGCTAGTTCACGGGGAGAATTGGCAAGAGTTTCACTAGGAAAACAAGACAAGCATGATCGAGAATAATAGCAACAACATTGGTATCACAGACTACATCAAAACTAGATAGGTTGCTGGTCGACCTCCAGCACAGCATGGTCGATCGTGATCCAGCGCAGCAGAGCTCGCACCGCTCCAGCGCTGCAGAGTAGCGGTTTGCCAACGTTGCAGGTTCACGGTGTGCCAACGCTGCAGCAAGTCGGCTGCACAGCGTTGCACCCGCAGGACAACGGTGCACCTGCTTCGCAGGTGCGTGCAGCTGGTTGGTGCACCACTCCTCGTCACCAGCACAACACAGACGCCTGGCAGAATCCACACCAGCTATTGCGCCCACAAGCCACGTCGACCTGGGGATACCACCCCCCAGGTTGGCCTCGTAGAAGCCAACCCGACAACCTTCGCACACGTCCCTTGGGTATCCTGGTCGACCGGGCAACCATGCCTGGTCGGCCAACCCTATCGGTCGTCTGTTGCACACACCCGGCGTCCCAGAAGAGGTGTCCCAACTTTCAAGTCGGCGCCTGGACGCTTACCTCGGCGCCCAGGCGCCCAGGACGCCGTCCAGACGCCCAGGTCGGCGTCCAGGCGCCCAGGACGCCGAGCAGACGCCCAGGTCGGCGTCCAGCCTCCCAGGACGCCGTCCAGGCGTCCAGGACGTCGTCTGGATGCCTAGGTGGGCGTCATCCTGCTCGACGCCCTCTAGCTAGGCGCCCTCAAGCTCGGCGCCCTTGCAGTGGCCCCCGTGCCCACTGCTGCAGGTTGGCTAGATTCCCCACTCATCCGACCACAAAGTCGGCTCTACCCAAGCGAGGACGGGGCCAAACAACACTCTCGTTGACACTCTGCCACCTCCTCTCCGCACCTCTTATCGCCCTTCCCATCTGACGCATCCACCAATCCCCCTACAGTCCTTTTTTTCATTCCATCTGCCCCCACCAACCTCTCGCTCCAGCCCCCCAAGTCCCCCCGTCTGCTTTGCACTGCATTCCCCCACACCCTCACATCCCCCCCTCCCCCCTGCATGCGCCTCCTCTGTAGCCCTCCTCCCGTCTCCCTCCCTCCCATCTCCATGAACCTTCTCCAGCCCACCTGATAGCACATGCTGCACAAAATTCCAAAACCTTCCTGCAGCTCAGCGCTCTCCTTCACCCCAAGCACCTGTACTAGCATGGACACAAATCAATCGTCTCCCCCCTGCCAGCTCAGCCAGAATTGCTGGCCAGGCGGCCAGATACGAGTACAAGCAAGCCCTCCATAGAGTCACAATGCGGGAAGATCTCGCTACAAGAACGAGGGACGTTGAGAAGTTGACGGCACGACGATAGGCTGCAACTGCTGTAGCGCCAACAGTTGGACCAACAGAATCAGCAGCAGCAGCAGCAGCAGCAGCAGCAGCAGCAGCAGCAGCAGCAGCAGCAGCAGCAGCAGCAGCAGCAGCAGCAGCAGCAGCAGCAGCAGCAGCAGCAGCAGCAGCAGCAGCAGCAGCAGCAGCAGCAGCAGCAGCAGCAGCAGCAGCTTCAGCAGCAGCAGCAGCAGCAGCAGCAGCAGCAGCAGCAGCAGCAGCAGCAGCAGCAGCAGCAGCAGCAGCAGCAGCAGCAGCAGCAGCAGCAGCAGCAGCAGCAGCAGCAGCAGCAGCAGCAGCAGCAGCAGCAGCAGCAGCAGCAGCAGCAGCAGCAGCAGCAGCAGCAGCAGCAGCAGCAGCAGCAGCAGCAGCAGCAGCAGCAGCAGCAGCAGCAGCAGCAGCAGCAGCAGCAGCATGTAGCAGTAGCTGAAAAAGCAGCAGCAGCTGGAGCAGATGCAGCAGGAGACAAGAACACACAGCACCTAGAATGGATGGCAGGCGGGATTGGATCTTCCCGAAGTCCATGAGCACGCCCACACGAGGCTCAGCCATCCACTCGAGCAGCATCGCTTCCGCACAGAAAAAGGGTGCCATGTTTACCTTCCATGCAAACTCCTCCTTCAGTGAATCTCCTCATCCCTCTTGTAGCTCATGCACCACTGCTACCCTTTTGAAGTACTCCAGACGGGGCTGGTGCTCCGGCTGTTCGGGTGCCGCGGCGGGGATGCAACCTGGCTGGTGCCTGCCCAGGTGGCGGCCACGTACGTCCTCCAGGTTCTTTATGGCGAGAGCTCGTCGCACCCTGTTGCTTATAGCACGGTCGAAGCAGCACTCGCACAGATCGTAATTTCACGCACTCGTCACATCCACGTAGTGAACCATGTCCGCCTGAGACAGCAGCTGACGTGGCTTCGGGCTTTCCTTTTGAGACGTCTCAAACGGCGCATCCCACGCACCCGTTAGGTCCAAGCAATGAACCATGTCGCGGCTTCCGACTCTCCCCAGCTCTTGCTTTCTCTGCTGCCACTCCGTTTGTCACATCGGGCTGATCAGGTTCACTCTGGTGGATCCGGACTCCAAAGCAGGGTCCCAACAGCAATGTCGCATTTGTTGTCACCTGCTCTTCCATCTTCTCAAGGGGTCGTGCCAAGCGTGTTCCTTTCATAGCTTAGTCCTCCTCTACCTCTTCCTCTTCCCCCTTCCTCATCCTCCTCCTCCTCCTCCTCCTCCTCCTCCTCCTCCTCCTCCTCCTCCTCCTCCTCCTCCTCCTCCTCCTCCTCCTCCTCCTCCTCCTCCTCCTCCTCTTCCTCTTCCTCCTCTTCCTCCTCTTCCTCTATCGCTAGCACTGCTGCCCCTCCGTTTGCCCCAGTGCACTGACCAAGTCCAACTTTCTCCTTCTGAAAAGTCCGCAGCCAGGCATCCAAACTCTTCCCCTGCTCTTCCAACTAGGGACCGTGACAAGCGTGCTTCTTGCAAAGCATAGTCCTCCTCCTCTTCCTCTTCCTCTTCCTCTTCCTCTTCTGACTGCTCTGCTGCCCCTCCGTTTGCCCCAGCGCACTGATCTAGTCCACTTTGCTCCTTCTGAAGTGCCACCAGCCATGCATCCATACTCTTCAGTTGCTCGTAAAACTTCTGAAGTTGTAACAAGTGTGTGTCGTTCACACCACCTTTCTCTTCCACTTCCATTTCCTGCTATTGCCATCGTCAACATCAAGGCACTTAAGCTCTGGTCCGCCAATTCCTATTGGCGCTCCTCTCTTCGGCTGACGCCCCTCGCCTTCCATGCTGCTGCGTTCGATAGGGTCCAATTTGGTGGTGATATCAGAAGGCACAGCAGCATGCACAGCAGCAGGCGCAGCAGCAGGCACAGCGGCAGGATGATAGGGAGGGGAAGAATTTACAAGGCGAGAAACTGCAGTTGCAAATGTAGGAGCAGGAGCAGAAGCATTCCGAAATGGCTGGACCTTCACCTCGCCCTTGTCCCTTCAATTTCGAGATACCTTTTCCAAGGAATCCATGATAATGGTTGTACCCGCTCTAAGCTTGGATTGCTCGACGATAAAGTCAGCAAAAAGGCACACTTGCTGCCCAACAGCAGTGAACCGAATTTTGAATCCTAGCTCCACTGATTTCGACCTATTTCGACCTCTCAGCTGTTGACGTGTCTGGGGCCGGCAGCACTTGGGCAGATGGGACTGAATCGGTCGGCAGAAAACCGACTATAAAAGTTTGTGAGGAGCGACAGTAAGAGAGACGTCCGCGTGTGCAGCACTCGGCTTGGTATTAGAACTGTTGGTACTGAAAGAAGGGTCCGAGTTTTTATCCGTGACACAACCTGCGGACTCGCTAATTCTATTCGGGCGGCTGTTACATCCACGGATTTTTCAGACAAGCTGGGATTCTGAATATGACCTCGAAATCCATGTCGGATGCTGCAATATTCTGATCGAATTCGCTAAATATCAGTCGAAGCCACCCACTAACTTGTAATCAGATCCGCCAGTTTCAACTGGAACGAAAAGGCTTGTAAGGGTGCTATCTTGGTCGGTCGGCCCTAAACCCAAGTCCAGCGAGACTAGTGATCGCCGAGGAAGCTAAGGCTGTGAGACCAATGGGTTGGGATATTATCATCAAGCAACGCTTTCCCAACCACGCTTTCCGATTCATGCGACGCCTTTCCATTGCCCGAACCGAGCGAAACGTTTTCCATTGTGCACATCGTTCTGGATAAGCATCAAACCATCCCATCATGGTCAGTCGCGTGGGAAATATAAGTGCTAGACGACTCGATCTTATCACAGCTGTATCTCTCAGCAGAAATGGGTCATCAAGCCTGTCGACCTGTGATGACCTGACGACCTGCTGCCCCGGGCGAAAAAAAAAACTAAAACCCTATCGGATGGCATGCCATCCGAGAGAGGCATCAACCATAAATCCATGACTCCCTGTGTTTGGGGTTGATGCCCCCCTGACCGGATGCATGCCCGAATGGGTTATATTTTTTTTTGCCCGGGGGCGAGCTCCCCTGGGCGACGACCCATTCGCGCTGAGATATATTTGGCGGTCATAATCAGCCCAGAATCGTTGGTGCGTCGCCTAAAAAGAATGGATATTACCGTGAAAAAAGAGAGCAAGTCCAATCAGAAAGTCACCGTGAAAGCGAAATCGGACTGTCCGTTTCCGCACAAGCCTAAGCGGGTGTATTATAATACTCGTCGAGGTGTTAGCTGATCTGTCTCGAGACGTCCTAGATTCTTCTTGTGGGCTGTGCTTTGATGTTGCTATGGCCGAAACACGAAATGGCGTGAATGTGCCGAGCAAGTCTCAGGACGCGCCACCTGAAGCGGATCGATCGGCTGGAAGATCGGTTTTGCGCTTGAGGTGTAGATCGAGGGCAGTGTACGATGAGTTGTCAAATCCAAATGTGCGTTATGGCTTCGTCAGTGCTTCCGCAATTGGAGTCGCTTTGATATAATCCAGTGTGTAACACCCTAGGGTGCTTTTACAGTTCAAACGTAAAATATATGAGGCTGGTAATCTTAGGTCATAATCTGGCTTGGGGGCCCGTCCACGTTCCGATGATTCATTGCGCACACCCATGCATCTCCTAAATGTTACTGGTGGTAGCTACCCACCCCTCTTAAGCTGACTGTCACAGCCTCCCTCTCCATCACATGGGTTAAAAAACCATTGGCATTATTTAAAGCAATACCAGGGCAACACATGTACCCTAGCATGCTAATTGCAGACTCTTGTGGCGCCTCAAAAGTGCTGCATGTTCTACTCCTATCTTATGGCATGCTAGTCGAGGAGCCACTAACCGCCCCTGCATCGCACGGGCTATTTCAGCAGTCAAGTCAAATGAACCATCAGGACCTCCAGATTCCACGTCGATGCCAGAAAAAGCTGCGTTAACCTGCACCCCCTTGACCATCTCCTGCTTCAACCTCACCAGCTCAGCCAGCACTAGGAGCATGGAGGGGCGGGAGGCCGCAGGGGAGGCTGAGCAGGAGAGGGCAAGGCGAGCCAAGCGCAGCACCAATTCATCCGGTGCATCAAGGTGAGGGTCCTTGAGTTCAGCCACTGCTCCTGAATCCACCAGTGGGGCCACCTGCAGGGTTGAAATATGATGTGCCATACGAAAGATGCTCTTTGAAAATATGCTCGTTGCTTGATATTGATGTGGATGTCCTGTATCGCAAGCACAGCGTTGGTGCTTCATAATAACCACCAGCATCATTTCTTGAGAATCCTCACTTTTGAGAATTCTGAAGACCTGTGCCTCATCCATCTCGTGATATTGATGCTGGTGTCCCCTTCTACAAGAGCAGCCTTGTGCCCCGTGACAGCCACCACCAGCGTCACATCAAGGAATTCTCAACAGCTGTGCCCCTTTGTGATCTGTGCCTCACCCTTTGTGACCTGTGCCTCACCCATTGTGTGGTGTGCCTGACCCATTGTTGGCTGTGCCTCACCCATTGTGTGGTGTGCCTGACCCATTGTTGGCTGTGCCTCACCCATCTCGTGATATTGATGCTGGTCTTTCCTTCTACAAGAGCAGCCTTGTGCCCCGTGACAGCCACCACCAGCGTCACTTTAAGGAATTCTTACTTGTGAGAATTCTCAACAACTGTGCCTCACCCATTGTGTGCTGTGCCTCACCCATTGTGAGCTGTGCCTCACCCATTGTGAGCTGTGCCTCACCCATTGTGAGCTGTGACTCACCCATTGTGTGCTGTGCTTCACTGTTGTTAGCTGTGCCTCACCCATTGCTTGATGTTGATGACGTTTTCCCCCGTTCCAAGAACAGGCTTGCGCCCCGTGATAAGCACCAGTAGGGACACCATGTATGAAATGACACTCTCGTGTGACACCTCTAAAAGTTGTTATTGGAAAGAAAAAAATACAATCATCCTCACTATTATGTTCCTTCCTCTTCACAACCACTTGCGCCCTGAATTGCCAACCATGGACTGGTACATGTACGAAGCAAGAGAAAGGTGGAAAACATAATGACGAACATCAGAGCAGGCAAAAAAACCTGAGTTTCATAAACATTACATGCCTCTGCCTCATCGCATGCTTGTCAGATGATTGTTTTGTCCAAATCTGCTAACGTATCAATCTGCAAACTTGTACCAATCTTCTGACTGCAACAATCTTCTCACGCAAGGGGAAGTCTCAAAAGTTGCAAAGTTCTTTTCTGTCTTTCAAACACACCAGACAATCTTCTAACCTGCTGTGCCAATAAACTCACCTGTGCACATCGGCAGTAGGATAGGCCTTGTGAGACCTGCAATATTCAGGGTCCACATATACTGGCGTTCCCATCACTCGCGTGGATTGCTCAGAAGTGCTTATTGTTGTACCCCCAAGCAGCTTCACAAGCCCAAAGTCTGCAACTTTTGCCTGCCCACCATCAACCACAGCAGCATCAACATGCAACATGAGAAGAGGTGACTCCATGCTGGGCAAAACACATCACATGACAGTTGTTAAGGACGAACAAGGGTAGGAAAGCATTTCCTAAGCATCCCCTTCCACATGCAACCTGGCTTTAAAATCTTCTGCATGCCTGCAAAGGAGAATGTCGCAACACACAATAAGAACGAGCAACCCAAAGCAGGTTTGGAAATACCTCCATTTTTGCGTCAAGGAGAATGTTAGCGAGCTTGATGTCCCGATGCACGATGCCAAAGTCGTGAAGATATTGCAACCCTCCCTTCCCCCACTATCTACAGACCCACTCTCACCTACCAATACCGGCTCACATTCATCTTGCCATCCAGCAGAATGTTGGCTGGTTTGATGTTCCAATGCATGATGCCAAAGTCGTGAAGGTACTGCAACCCCTTGGCCACTCCAATCAGAATATCATTCCTTTGTTGCAGCGTAAGAGGGTTGGAGACGCCGGGTCCGATCCAGCTGTCAAGGTCGCCGTTGGGCATGAGCTCATAGACAAGAAGCTGCTCCATGGTTCGTGTGGACGGGTCAAAGTCGATGCAATAGCCCAACAGACGCACGAGGTGTGGGTGGTGCTTGCTTGCCATCTCTTTTACCTGAGGGAGAGTGGTGAACCAAACAAGAAACCAGTGTCAGCCTATGTTGGACAAATCTCTATGCAATTAGGCACAGAAAATCAGCAAGAAACGTGATAGCAATAAGAACTCAACATGATACCTCTGCCTGAAGTCAGCATTTGGGCTATTTTTGAGCCCTAAAAAAACCCAGAACAGATAAAAAAAAAAATCATCAGAATTTAAGAAAATTACTCCCAACATGGTACCTCTGTCTGGAAGTCGTTTGTGAGCACTCGAGCTCGCTTGACTTCCCAAGCTTGATTGCCATCATGGGGAGACACCCCCTTGTAGACAACCCCAAAGGCGCCATTTCCTATCCTGTTTCCCTCTGCCCACCCTCCTGTGGCCGTGGCCAACTCTGCCAAAGAGTACTCTCGACACACATATGGTTGTGTTACTCCCATCTCCACCACAACACCAGCACGCTGTCCCCTTCCTGCTGCTGCTGGCCCCTCTGCTGCTGCTGATGGTGGTGGTCGTGCTGCTGCTGCTGCAGCCGCTGCAACAGCTGCTGCCGCCCCCTCTGCTGCAGCTGACGGTGGTGCTGCTGCTGCTTCTGCAGCCGCTGCTGCAGCTGCTGCTGGTTCATAAGAGAGTGGAAGAGAGAGAAAAAGAGACAAAGATCAGGTAAGGCGCCAGGAATACGCATCCCACCTATTCTAAGAACCTAATGGGGCAAGAAGTACCGCCACCCGCTACGGATTGAGTTTCACCACCAAAACCAAACACCTTCGTCTTCGGATTTTGCTCATGCTCACACATCATCTCTCCATATCTAGTCATTTGAGCGAAATTCAACACAATCTTCCGTTTTCACACCTTTTTCATGAAGGAAGTGGCGCTGGCAGCGGTCGTAGAGCGCCTGGTCCATCTCGAGAAACTTGTTGCGCACGTTGATGCTCAGCCCTCTCACAGTCTGGACAGAACGGAGGGGAGGAGGGAGGAGGGGAGAAGTGGAGGAGGGGAGGAGGGTAGCAGGGGAGGAGGGGAGGGGGGGAGGAACGGGGGGGAGGAGAGCATAAAGGGCGAGGAGGGAGAGAGCAGCACAGCATGCATTGAGCAGGGCCTGGTCCATCTTGAGAAACGTCTTGCACACGTTGACATTCCGCCGCTCTTTCACTGCCTTGGCAGAAAGGACGGCGGAGGGGGGGTCGGGGGAAGGGAAGGGGGGGAAGAGCAGTCAGGAAGTGGAGGGGGAGGAGTGGAGGAGAGGAGGGAGAAGATGTGAGGAGATGAGGGAGAAGGAGCGTGGATGAGTGAAGCAAGGGGAGATGCCATGGCAGAGGGTTAAGCTGACAAGGGCATGCATGTAGTCGCTCATAATGAGCTTACACGTTAGCATCCACTCTGGTGGCGAGATGATGAGGTAATGAAGACACAAGCTAAGGAAGCCCCAGTGACCTTATGGGATGAGAGTACAAGTGCAAAAGAAGGGAGATACAATCAACCCTTGCTGCAAGATTGACACTGATTCTTGATGTTAAGATCAGTCATGCTATTGGAGTCATAGTTGCTTGTCGCCTCAAGTCATTGCAACTCGAACCGAGTAAAGCAACTAACTGACTCACGCTTGACTTTATGCATAAACCTCAAAACGTCGAGTCGAGTCATGCACGAGAGTCAGGAGGCATGAGAATTAAGTCCACCCGTCCCGACCCAATCAGCCCATGGGGTCGACCCGGGGCGAATTGGCCAAGGTGATTTCTTGAACCGATCCAGCTTATAAGGCGGTGGGTCTGGATTACCTAGGGTTGGGTCGAGTTCCCCTGATCTCGAGTCGCCCTCGTCTGGTCGTGCTACAGCCATAGGCAGTCCGTGCGACAACCAAAGCCAGTCCGGGCTACAGCCATAGCCACAGTTCAGAAGCAATCCAGGTACTACACGCAGCTCACTACCCACACCATACCTCGTTCTGGTGGCTTCTCGCGTTGCGCTCGAGGGCGGGAAAGATTAGCGGCAGGATGGTGGTGCGGTTCTGAGCGACAAGCGTCAAGATATAGTCGTTGTTCCACAGGAACAATGCGCGCACTGCCACCTGATGGCAGAAAGGAAAGGGAAAAGGGGTTTGGGGCGGGGCGAAGGGTGGAGGGAGCGCCATGTCGTACAGTCAGCGGCCATCACTAAGGCCAAACACTAATGATGCCCCCATACAAAAACAGCAAAAGGAGACAAACCCCGCACACTTATATCTCAACTCTGCGTCAACCATCATAGTTGTTTAAAAAAAGTAGTGCATTGGGATTTCAGGGAAATAATTGCAAGAGCGTTGTAGCTGGAAGTGCGAGGAGCTGAGGCACTGCACGCCGGCAGAGAGCCATGATGCCCATCTGGAACTCGGAAGCTCGCACAACGCGATGCACCCTACCCCACCCCATCACACTCCCTTGCACCCCCATCACTGTATCATGCCTCTTTGATCCATGTCACAACCCGTATTCTCTGCTGGAACAGCAGCGTCACGACCATCTGGAAACTCGTGTTATTGAGCAAAGACTCATCGCACCCTATTACACTGCAACACACACACTGTACCTGAGATTGGGCAGGAGCGTTGCACCTGGGAAGAGCGGGGAGCTGAGACAGCGTGCAATCTGCTGGGACAGCGGCATCATGACCATCTGGAACACCTTTCCAAACCGCCTCCCAGTGCCCCACACACACTGTACGTGTAAGTGCGAGGAGCTGAGACAGCGTGCAACCTTCTGAAACAGCAGCATCATGACCATCTGAACCCTGGACGTCTGCATGCCATGACACTCCCGCACATCTCCTCACATCCCCTCACACCCCGCCACCGTATCACACGCCCTCGCACTGTACCACACCCCTACACACCCTGTTCCATTGTACCTGGAAGTGCGGGGAGCTGAGTCAGCGTGCAATCTGCTGGAACGGGAAATCATGACCATCTGAAACACCTTCCCAAACCGCCTTACACCTCCTCACACTCCCTCCCGGTGCACCACACACACCCGTACCTCAGAGTGCGGGGAGCTGAGGCAGCGCGAGATCTGCTGGAACAGCGGCGTCATGACCATCTGAAACTCGGGCAACTGGGTCAGGTTCAAAATTTCCTCCAACTCCTCCAGGAAACGGAGCTCATTCTGGCTGTTAGTTAAGGGCCAGAACTTAAGCAAGCGCAGCACCAAATCTGCGAGCTTCGGGTCTTACTCCACGAACTGAGTGATGCAGTACGACAGCTGCTCGTGATACATCGACACGCACTTGGGCTTGTGCAGCGGAACCAGTACTCGCTCCAGGGACTGCGTATGCTCCTGTTTAAGAGGCAGCACAAACCCGTTGACAAAGCTTCCTATGAACTCCAGCAACTCCGCAATGCCATTATGACGCTCCGACTCGATAAACTGGTCGAAAATGTTGTTTATCGCCTTGTGGATGAACGGTCGGTGACCCATGATTTTGAAGTAAATCCGGTGTAAAATGCTCTTCAAATAGTCCCGCTCGCGAGGGTCCTCCGAGTCGAACAGGTTCAGCAGCTTTAAGATGAACTTCTGGTCGATGTAACGCTTTAGAAGCCTCTGGTCGGTCTCGTTAGAGACGACATACCTAAGCAGGAATTCGTAGACTATTTGCAGGTGCGACCAAGCGGCTTCCAAAGTCGGATCCTCTTCCTGGGGGTCCTTAGATTCCGTCCCGGAAATCGCGTGCGCGGACGGCGGTAACGGCCGGAAGAGATTAATCTCCAGCATGCGCGTGATGTCTTCGAATACCGCCTCGTTGAACTTCCCGGTTCCGCGACCAACGTAGTCCACTAGCTCGAGCAGCGTTTGCCACTTAATCTCCTTCTCCTTCACGTTTTTCATTGGGTCGTTATAATCGAACAGGTAACTGCAGAGTCGAAGCTTCCGCATGAATAGCGCCTGCTTCTCCTGCGCACCCACGTCTTTTAAAAACGGCAGCGGCTCCGCGAGAGGCGGCAAGCTCGCCTGCGAAATCTCTTCATTCGGGTCGCGACGAGAGGGAGCCGTTGGATTCGTGCCGCCTGGAGACGGATGCAAGCATTCCGCCTTTCCGGCGTCCGCTCCTCCCCAAGCAGCAATTGCCACAGCTGCTGCTGCATTGCCTGCATTGTGCGACGCTGCGTCTGTCTTACCCTGCTTTTCCCAACCCCGTACAAACGTCTTTTTGAACAACTCTAGCATGCTAAACCACTTCCTGCACGTGGAGGTTTAACGCTAATATCGACACGACATTGCTAACGCCGTTTGGTTTCAGTCAGGCAGCAATAGCAATTCATACGCGAGGAGCTTTCTGGTTATGTTGGAAACCAAATCGCGAGAATAGGTCTACCCCGAACTTGCCAAGCTTCGGACTTTCAAACGGCTGGCTTCCCAAAAGATATGCTGGGAACTGATAAATGCATCTAGCGGCTCGTCTCGCGGTTTTCCCAAGTATAAGGACTCACGCATCACGCATGTAGGATCCTGCACTCAGGTCCTAAGGATAATCATATGTGAGCTCCGACAGCTGAGAGTTCGCAGCACACCCAGCCAGCAGCATTCAGCACGTTTTCCCACGAAATTCCTTCTCGCCTGATTCCATCGCCGTTTTCGCCACATCACTTCTCACCTGTTTCCTTTCATTCCAGCTAGGATATTTTCGCGCAACTCCAAATTCCCATCCCGACCAGTGGAGCCAAAGCGATAAACAGTCACGATTGTTACCCAACGGTCGTCCCCCCAAATCCGATATATCTCGTAAGAACCAATATGGGACACGGATTTCAGAAACTACAAGAGCAGGATGCGCACCTAACAAATGCTGAATATAATATGTAATTGGCACATGTACCCGTACGGGGTGCTAATAGAGGACCCTTGAGGTGCCTCAAAAGTGGTGCACATTCTACTACTCCTATCCTATAGAATAATAGGTGGTTGAGGGTCACTAACAACTTCTTGCATCGCACGGGCCATCTCAGCACTGAAGTCAAAGGAGTCATCAGAACCTCCAATTTCCGTGTCGATGCCAGAAACCTCCGCGCTCACCTGCACCCAAAACGTCTCCTGATTTATCCTCACCAGCTCAGCAAGCACTTGGAGCATGGAGGGACGGGAAACCCCAGGCAGAGCAGTGCACGAGAGTGCAAGGCGAGCCAAGCGCAGCACCAGTGTCAGAATGAACGGACTGGAATGATGGACTAACAAGGATTGTGAGTACAAATATGAAACCCTAATGTTGTGACCCCCCTATAGGCTAACCCACTACAGCCTACACAAATACAACATGTATAATGTTTGACACACCCCCATAGGCAAAGTGGGGGAGACCTAGGGGTCACAAGACCAGTCAAGGCAAAGCAAGGCAACAACAAGCTCAGGGTGGATCTCAAGGATTCCACACAAATTCCGAGCGCAAGCTAGTGGTCACAAGACCAGTTCACATGCAGGTTTATAACAGAGCAAGAGATACAGTGATCACAACCTAGCAAGAGTAAACATGCAGGTATAGATATATATAGTGATCACAGTACAAGCAAAGTCAAGAGGTAAGCAAGTGAGGAGAACGAGTCTGTGCTCCAGTCTGTGCTCCTCACACAAGGCAATGGCAGCCTTGTTGTCGACGTAAAGTACTGGAGGAGAACGAGGCCGCTCTCTGAGGTCAGTCAGCAGGTAGGTCAGCCAGCGTAGCTCCTGGGCAGCCATGGCTGTAGCGTAGATCTCAGCCTCGCAACTGGAGCCGAGAACAGAAGAAGAACGTGTAGAGCGCCAAGAAACTGAGCCAGAGCCAAGGCTGAAGGTGTAACCCTGAGACGACCGCTGAGTGGCCTGGTCGTCTGCCCAAGAAGCGTCTGAGTGCCCTGTGAGAACAACTCGGTCTCGCCCTCCAAGCACAAGCCCCATGCCCGACGTACTGCACAAGTAGCGCAACACCCTCTTAGCGGCATCCATGTGCTCCTTCCTGTGACGGCCAGGAGCGACATAGCGTGCAAGGATGCTAAGAGGGTATGCAAGGTCAGGTCGAGTGCAGGTTATCAGGTACATGAGGCAGCCCACAAGCTCTGGATATGGGCCACTCGGCTCTACGGACTCATCCGAAGGCAGAGCTGAGAGCGAGTGACCGGTAGGCAGAGGAGTGGACTGAGGCGAGGAGTACGTGAAGCGGAAGCGCTGGAGAACCTGCTGCACCATGTGTGACTGAGTCAGGGTGATGGTGCGCCGTGCTCTGTCCCGGGTGATCCGCAAGCCAAGATAGCTTGTCAGCTCACCCAGGTCTGTGCACGTGTGTCTCCTCTGCAGCTCCGACTTCACGTAGGCGAGTCCTGCAGTGTCAGCAGTGGCAAAGACCAAGTCGTCGACGTACACGAGGATGTAGAACGGCGACAGCGAAGTGTCGGTGCGCAGGAACAGCGACGGGTCAGCTGTAGAAGGCGCGAACCCAAGGGCCGCAAGTGTAGTCCTCAGTGTGTCGTGCCACTCACGCGGAGCCTGGCGGAGACCGTAGACCGGCCGCTGAAGCCTCCACTGGGTACCAGGAGGAAACGACCCAGTGAAGCCAGGTGGGCGGCGCAGCCAGATCTCCTCGTGCAGGCTGCCCTGCAAGAAAGCAGTGCTGAAGTCAAGTGAGTGAAGCTCGTAGTCGCGGTGAGCGGCTATGTGCAGCAGCACCCGAAGAGTAGTCATCTTCGGGGTGGGGGAGAAGGTCTGGAAGAAGTCAACTCCCTCTCGCTGACTGAAGCCTCGAGCCACGTAACGCGCCTTGAAGACAGGCGGAGAACCCGGCGGCCGCTTCACCCTGAAAATCCACATGCCACTGACGATGTTCGCCCCAGGAGGGGGAACCTCGTCGACGTAGGTGCGTGTGGACTTCCAGGAAGCCATCTCGGCGTCCATGGCTGTCTGCCACTGAGAGGAGTAGGGACCCGCCATCGCCTCAGCGTAAGTGCGCGGGGTCGGGATGTCTGGTGCATCCGGGTCTCCCTCAGGGGCAACTAGCAAGGACACGAGACGGGGCAAAGCAGCAGCAAGACACTGGAACTCCTCCTGTCTGTCCTCAAGGACGTCCGTGCCAAGAGCACACTCACCCCCGACGGACGGAGGACAGACAGACTCAGACTCAGCAACAAGGCTAGCAGCGTAGTCTAGACGACAGGCAGCAGCAAAGTCAACCAACTCAGCGACCAGAGCAGACGCAGACGAGGACTCAAAGGTAGGGTCAGTGACAACAGTAGCGAGGAGATGCGTGACAGTAGGGTGCTCAGCACGATACCGGTCAGACTCAGGGTCCGGAACGTCAGGCAAAGAGGACGCAGGAGGAGACGGTAGAGGGACACGCTGAGGAGCAGTAGAGGGACGTAGAGTCATGTAGTGAGTGCCTGGGACAGGAGGAGGACGCTCACGACGGACACGACTACCAGTGCGAGCAGGACGAACAGGCGACGCAGGACGAGACTCAGGCTCACGACGCTCTGTAAGACCTCCTGTGGGACCAGTGTAAGGAGAGGGAGCAGGGAGAGGCGAGGTAGGCGGTAACTGTGACTGTGGCTGGACAGGCGGAGGACACTCTACGGAGGGAGGAGGACAAGGAGGAGGAGCCTGCCCAAGAACCTGCTGAAGGAGCGGTACGAAGTACGGTCGCGGCCGCGCAGCGTCTCCAGAAGCAGAAGAGACTCCAGTGGCCGGGTCCTCAGTACCAGTAGGAGCTCCAGCGTCCGGGTCCACAGCACCAGCAGCAGCTCCACCGGCCGGGTCCTCAGCACCAGTAGTAGCTCCAACGCCCGGGCCCTCATCAGCAGCAGCAGCGCCACCGCTCGGGTCCTCAGCTCCAGCAGCAGCTCCACCGTCCGAGTCCTCAGCACCAGTAGCAGCTCCAACGTCCGGGTCCTCAGCACCAGCAGCAGCGCCACCGCCCGGGTCCTCAGCTCCAGTAGTAGCTCCAACGTCCGAGTCCTCAGCACCAGCAGCAGCTCCACCAGGCGGGTCCGCAGCACCAGCAGCAGCTCCAACGTCCGGGTCCTCAGCACCAGCAGCAGCGCCACCCCCAGGGTCCGCAGCACCAGGAGCACCACTCCGAAGACTGCAGCGCCGTGTGTACCACTCGCGGATCTGCTGAATGGGGGGGAGCTCCTGGGTAGGAGGGGAAGTACCGGGACGAGCTCCAGGAGCACCTCTCCGGAGGCGGCAGTACTCGAGGTACCTCTCCTGCAGCTGCTGGGAGGAGAGGGCTCCTCCAGGTGTAGCACGCTCAGGCTCAGCACCCCCAGACTCAGCACCCCCAGACTCAGCACCCCCAGGCTCAGCACCTCCAGGCTCCGCACCTCCAGGCTCCGCACCTCCAGGCTCAGCACCCCCAGGCTCCGCACCCCCAGGCCCAGCACCCCCAGGCTCAGCACCCCCAGACGCAGCACCCCCAGGCTCAGCACCCCCAGACGCAGCACCCCAAGGCTCAGCACCCCTAGCAGGACGAGAGTCAACAGCTACCTCGACAGGCTCACCCGGGTCTACCTGGGACACACCTGAGGGAGCGGCACCCTGAGGGGGGAGGGGGTCTGGTACCTCTGCACCTGGAGCGAGGAAGAGAGGCGGGGGGGGGAGCGGGGCAGTGCGGTAGGGGAAGAGGCGGTAGTAGGGGACGGACTCGTCAAAAGTGACGTCCTGAGAGGCCAGGACACGCCGCGAGGTGGGGTGGTAGAACTGCCAACCAGGGGCGTCCGGGACAAAGCCAAGGAAGACGCAGGGGACAGCGCGACGGGAGAGCTTGTCCGCGGACGTGTCGCGGACAAAAGCTCGGGATCCCCAGACCCGAAAACGCGACGCATCGCCAGCCTCTCCCGTCCAACGCAGTGTCGGAGAAGTCTCGGGCAAGGAGACACGGGGCCAGAGGTTGAGCTGATGCGCAGCGTATCGGACTGCAAACGGCCACAGAAAGTGGGGGGCAGCCGCATGAACCAAGGAGGTACGAGCGACCTCCATGACCAAGCCAATGCGGCGCTCAGCAACCCCATTCTGCTGTGGAGAGGCCGGAAGCGTGAACGACTGCTCAATGCCCTCCTGCTGACAGAAGGCCTCCAAGAGGCCAGAGGAAAACTCTCCACCTCTGTCAGAGTGCAGACGCAGGACAGGGAAGTCGGAGCGGAAACGCTCACTAAGCTGGAGACGAGATCTGCGGATCCAAGGGATCAAGACATCAGGGACGTCACCCT